CTCCCAAGCGGCGCACTCTCCAGTGCACCACCGGGCCGGCCCGTGATTTGCATATTTTAAATAAGGAATTATAAACAATATCTTATATAAGTACCAATGGTTCCAGAGTGTTATATCCCTGTGACTGATAGATTTTTCTCTGATGACATCGCCAAAACCCACGGTGGTATGACTGTTACGGAAACTAAACTTATTCTTTCACTTGAAGGTAGTGCATAAGACCAAAATACTCAATGAAAATTAACAGATTATTCAGAATGTGTTGTAAATCTTGAACTTTTCATTAAAATTCAATTTTAACTAGTTAGCACTTAGAAATTAGAAAAAGAAAAATAATTTGTAAAGCATTCTAATTTTCAGCAAATGAAAAGACAATATAACTAAGATTCCTAGAATATACTGGTAACAAAACATCCATTAGTGTGATTGGAGGTATTTAAAAACATTATGATACCGATGACTATAAACTAAAATTAGATCATCTTTTCACCTATAGATGAAAATGTTTATCTCTGTGTTCTGCAGAACATAAAACTAAGAGAAGAAAATAAGCATTCTGCGAAATCTGGGATTAACATGAACTTGTGTTAAAATAAGAAAGAAAAGGTGCTTGAAAAGGTAAAAGGACCATCTCTTTGATATGCTCTTTACTACGTCTTTCCATATCTATATCATCTAGGTCCGTCTATACAATCTGTAGCTGTATAGCTAACTAGTTAGCTAGCTATCTGTCATCTATTTATATTTAAAATCTTTATCTGTATTATAAACAAAATGTCTTTCAAACTAAGTATATATGTGTGTGTATATATATATACACATACTTATGATTTTTTATATAATTAGTTATATATGTGTATATATACACATAGTTTTTGATATAAGAAATGTTGTAGCATTGTATATTTTTCCTTTATTCACTAACTTTCTGGGAAAAATGGGATCAATATTTAATCTAATTTTCACATAACTGTAATTAGCAATTAACTTTCCCACTTGCACTTACTTTTCTATTAGCATCTCTCAAAATCAGTAAGATAATGCAGCTTAGTTTCAAAAGGCAACACCAGATCAAGAATGGACAAAATCTAGAGCCACATAAAAGGTGCTATGAAAACAAATTCATTAAAATTTAAAATTCTAAATACTGCTAATAATTTTTTCTAATGCTAGAGTAATAGAATGCTAAATGTAAAACATGTAAAATGTCAATGTAAAAACTCCCATTTATTTTATACATGCCATCACATACAAATTCGGAAACATAATTTAAAAATCATCTCCTATGAGATAAATCTTTATATATATACCTGTGAATGGAATATAGAATAATGTGAATACCAATTTCTCACCTATTTAATAGTTGATAGTCTCCTAAAATTCTCATTGTTTGGCTTTTTAAATTTGCTCTTTTTTAAAAAAAAAAATTCAACTCTATAGTGGCATTTTTCCTCTAAAAGAAAAACCATTTAACACAAGCAAAATTGTCAAGGAATGTCATATGTTGAGAAAAGCAGTGACAAATGAAAAAGAGCCAATTCACTTAGAAAGTGCCATGAAGACAGCCGAGGGTAACAAGCACTAAATTGAAAAAGAGAGTGGATGGTGGAAATAGGTCAAAACAGCCCAGTGCAGCATAATCATTATATGACAAAATGACCAGAAGATGTGATTACATTATTGATATGTAAGCTATTTATTATCAGAAGCTTAATATTGGTGACCTTCAAATTAAGAACTTTAATTTTGTCAGATGCTTTGGTTTTATGATATTTAACTCTGCTTAATTTCAACATTGTGTTATTTATAAAGACCTTGATTTTATCTTAAATTTCTAAT